CCTTACAGGTCCCAAAAAGAAAAAAGGAACAAAATTAGAGAAGACAAACTAAACATCAGAAGACAAAGACGGATTAGGAAGAAGACCACAATATTGGAGGGAGACAAAAAAGAAAACAAAAATTGCAATAATAAAGTTAATATTAATATTAATAATAAAAACAGTAACAACAACAAACAACAAATTTTGCCCTTCCAACAGATTCAGGATTACCATCAACAAAACAGCAAGCTGCACCCAGTACCAGCAGCATCAAATACAGCACAGAATACGAACGAACAAACGAACAAATGAACCAACCAGTGAATGAATGTATGAATGTCAAAAAGTTACACTCTAAAAGTGAGAAGAATGAAGAAAAAAGAGAAAGAAAAAACTGAAAACATCAAGAAAAAACAACACACAAAACTTTGCCTTACAAAAACAAAAAAAAAAAATACAAAACACAACAACGAAAAAGATCAATGTTCACATCAAAAGGCTCTCCCCATGGATCAAATTAAAAACCCTCCCTTCCCCACCCCCCTCTTCGAGAAAACAAAAAATCGTTTTAAAAGATGAAAAAAAAAAAAAGAAAAATAACCAACCATTTCAGCGGAATAATAAAAATAATAACAATGATAATAATAAAAATTAAATTAAAAATAAAAACAAAAACAAATAATAATAATAATAATAATAATAATAATAATAATAATATAATAATAATAATAATAATAATAATAATAATAATAATAAGACAATAATAATAAATTAATTTTGAGATTTTTCGGAATCAGTAATAATAATAATAATAATAATAATAATAATAATAATAAGACAACAATGACAAAAAATAATGACAGTAACATCACCAATATTAATAACGAGAAGAGTAACAATGATTATAGTAACATCAACGAAAATAACGAGGATAACAACAAACGACAAGGACAATTATAACAATGGATACGGCCACCATTATAATTAATACTATTATCAATAATAATATCACTATTAATACCACTACCAATAATAATATCATTATTGATGTTATTAATACTATTAATATTATTATTATTTATACCACCAACATTACCAACATTGTTGTTATTATTATCATTATCATTATCATTATTATTATTATTATTATTATTATTATTATTATTCATTATTATTATTATTATTATTATTATTATTATTATTATATCAATGATATTATAATAACAGTAATACCAATAACTAATACCCTATTATTATTATTATTGTTCCTATTATTATCATTATACTGTTGTTATTGTTATTGTTGTTATTATTGATATTATTATTCGTTATTGTTATTATTATTATTATTTATCATTATTATTAACATTAATATTAATAATATTAATATTAATATTAATATTATTACTATTACTGCTATTATTATTATTACCAATATTTTATTATTACCATAAAGTAATAATAGTAACAACGTATCAATCTGAGATAATAACAAAACAATAAAACATGAACGAAAAAATATAACTCTTTCTTCAGAAAAAAAAAAAAAAAAA